AACTTCTTTCTTCTTTCTTAGCTCTCTCTTCTCATCCTTCCTCTCGATCTACAAACTCTACAAATTTTATTTTATTTTTTTTTGGGTCTGGCTCATCAAAACGACGTCGTTTTGGCGAGGGATCATCTCAGCCATTAGTTCCATTAATGGGACACGTGTCGTGCCATGAAAGATCACTTTACAGGATCATTCTACAGGATCCGAATGCTTCCTGCATATCCATGAATACGATTTGTAATTTCTTGTATTTTGTGGGAAAATGATATTTGCAATTTGTCACGGATGAAGTTCACTAATATTTTTCATCACTTGCATCCTCATGTATACATCATGTTTGTTATATGAATCAATGTAGTAGAACTGTCTTAGTACATGAGTCTCCCACTATTGTGAGGTGAAAAAAATTAAATGTACACAATCTTCATTATATGTAATTTCTTATATTTTGTGGGGAAAATGATTTTTGTACCGGATGAATTTCGCTACATATTTTTATCACTTACATCATTATAGTATTATATTAGGCATATTGTGTTTGTTAATGTAGGCAGTTCAAATGCCGGAGGCTATTGTCATTTTGCGAAGTCTGAGAGGGTCAGATACAAGGAGACTATTTGTGTGGATCAATGTGAAAATTCTGATAAAATCTATCCCGCGATATATAACCTCTATTTTATTGGTTGCATTGTACGAAGCTCTAGTCATTACGAAGTTTGAGGAGTTTCGAGTGTAACCAATCTTACTATTAGGTGCGAAGACACTATTTTCATGAATTAACATAAGAAATTGAAAAAATAAAATTTGATTTAAAAAACTCTCCCCATATTTGTTTGGGACTAATTTGTGATTCATTGGGAACTCATTTGACACCCAAAATCACAAAATAAAAGTCTGACGCAGAATCATTAAATTTTTTATTTATTTAAAATATACAGTTTGACAATTTCTTTCAAGGTATTACACATCTCAGATATGAACACCCACTATAAAAAAAATAATAATAATAAAAAATAAAAATTGTTGCCGCAGTTTTTGAGCAGCAACAACAATACATGGCTTCATTTGATTAACCATTAATCATTAGCCCCAAATGCTTTACATAAACAGGTTATATATCATCCTTTATTCCAACTCCACATTGCGTAGTAGAGTTCATACACAACAAAATGTCACCTTATTCACATTTGAGAAAGAACTGAGACATTTCAAGGAGTGGTACTCACCGAGATCTCTTGTGGCATAGGTGAACTTTGCTGGTCAAAAAATGTGATGGTATAACCAGAGGCTGCAACGGCTTTAGAGCCATCGTGAACTGTGCAAATGAAGGCTGCATGTTTGGATCACTGAACATTCATAGAAAGAAAGAAATTAGTCATAGGATATATAGACTTTGAGGTGTATGTTGGGCCATATTTGATTCACAAATAGGATAAGGTGAGATAAGTAATCTGGGATTACAATCTCAATAATAATATAACTTATCCCAAGGAGGGTATTTTTGAAATTTTGCAACAAAAATGTTATCTCATGATAAGTAGAAACTAATCAATGGCTCCAATTTATTTTACGGGGCATCTAAAGTAGAAACTTAATATTGTCATTGGGCCTTCGAATCCATCAGGACGTCTAAACACATCCTTAAACATCCAAAAACTTGCATCCGGATTACTAATATATGATCTACATCACAATGAAAAATCCAATCAAACAACCACAAGATCCATAATATGAATAACTCTCCAAGACTTTTGATCCTAATTCGAACAAAGTCCCAAATTGGCAGATGACTAATTACAACTAGGTCCGGTTGTGTATTCTAGAGATGCAAAGGGGTTTGGGTTAGGAAAATCATATCTAGAAAGACTTTTTGAATGTGAATATTACCACAATGGGGATGAAAGTTTCATCACAAAATTAGTGAGAAGTTACCGTGTCAAGAAAATCCCTCTTCTTTGAAACCTTGGCTAAGCCTTCCTAGCAAAGAATTTCTCATTCTCTTCAACGCCATTCAAGGCTGTGATGAGAGAGAAGGCAACGATCCCTCGTGGTGAAGATAACCAAGGTATTGGAATCATTTGATATTAAGTTTGGGAGTGTTGAGCAATTCCAAAGACAATAGAGGGAAGTTATAATTGTTTCAATTGTGAACAGCCAAACACAATGGGTTTGATAAAACCTATTGTCTTGGTTTCTTGGCAATCTGAGGAGGTTTAATATTGCGGTTACTCAGGCAAAGTCCTTGCTTATCATAGTTGGGAATCCACACATTGTCAGTAAGGTACTTTGTGTTGTTATTTTTATTTTTTATTTTTTTTGATTCAAAGGAAATAGAACAAAAGCAGGAAAGAAACAGGGACACCAAGTCCTTACACAAGATGCCCCCACCATGTCTGCTATCAACAGACTTACAATGGCACTTGGTGGGTCATCAAGCACTACCAGATTGTCTTGGTGGGTTGCTCCTAAATTTGCTAGTCCATCTGCACATTTGTTGGCCTCTCTAGGTGTGTAACTGATGGAGCAATTGCACCTGTGCATGAGAAATTCGGTGTCTTCGAGGAGAGCTCTTTGCGCAAAATTTGGAGGAGTGTCCCCTTTGATGAATAGCACCACTTGCTCAGAATCAGTTTTTATAAGAATGTCTGTCATTCACATTTATGGTGGTTACTTATGTTTGTATACACACAACTATTGGCTTAATGTGAGCTGTGGTAAATAAATGTTAATGCGAACTTTCACATTACAAATGCATATTGGTAAAATAACACATTGTTGTTTGCACTAATATGACTATTTATGAATGTGAATATTAATATTGATTAATAATGTCATGATCACAATACCAATTGCAACACATTACAATGTGATAATTTACAACAAGCAATGACTCATTACAATGTGAATATTAACACCATGTAATAATCATGCAAAACTCATACAATAATCAGTGATATGTAAACATTCACATTATTCAACAACCATGCAATCATCAGGCTACATTGCACGTCATGCAACTATCACATGCTTCTAATGTTAAAGTTCACATCATCAAATGCAAAATATTAAAATATGATAATCCACAACAACAATAACTTCAGTGGATGTGCACGTTCACATTCATTGAAATATCCACCCAATAAGTATACACGCATTGATACATAATACCATATCAATTCATCTCGAAACAAAAAGTTGAATCCAACTTTATTGAACATACAGTTGCTAACAAAAAATGGTGCTAATCTTCATTCAATAATTCTGAACTTCAAAACCACAATAATGGAAGAGAACAGAGTTTCAAAACTGCAACAGTGAAAGAAAACAGAGCTTCAAACTGCAACAATGGAAGAAGGTAGTATTCGAATGTTCTCTAACCTTCGTCCAACAATTCTGAACTTGAAAACCGCAACAGTAGAAGAAAATAAAACTTGAAAACCGCAACAATAGAAAAAAAATTAGAGTTTCGAACCACAACAATAGAAGAAGAAAATATTCAAATGTTCTCTCTTCACTAATGTGTAAACAAAACTCATACAAAAACGTATAATGAAAATGTATCTATTGATTCTTCCAATATCTCTAATCACCAAAACTTCCAAAATAGAAATAACAATATATGAAAAATGTTATATCTTATTGCGTATGATACTTACCATCAAAATAGAACAAAGGGTATAACAGTCCCCAAAAAAATTATAAATAAGGCAAAAAAGACCTCTTGAAATACAAATCTAAATATATGAAACTTGATGGAACACAAAAAAAACCTTGTGAATTTATTGGGCTATCAATCTACTAAAAAGGATTTATAAATAAATATCTCTTGCTATAATAGACATCCTCCATTATAACCTTGAAATTGAGAGGATCTCAATTCTATTTTTTATATATATTTAAAGAGTCTACATTCTTACCTAACATATTTTAATAACACTTTTGAAATATTTATATTTTATTATTTTTTATCATATAACACCTTTTAACAAATAATTTTACCTACAATGTTGGAGATGCTTCCATACCAAGTCAATAATAAAACAAATCTCAAATCCTAATAAAAAAATAATAAAATAAAACATACCCTACACACCAAACAACCGAACCCATAATCCACGTCCAAACAACATCAACAACCGACCAAATATGGCTAGATGTAGCAATCTCACTCAGCAATTATTGTCAGTTGTTGAGGGCTTAGCAATTATTGTCAACTGCAGAGGACTTCTTATTTATCACAAGAACAAAATGAGATCCAACGATCGAAACTTTGCACAGTTGGAAAATGTATGACATGTGTCGCACTCATCTTTTTCATTTTCGCCTCCCCAAACTATTTGGGCCGCCGAATCTTCTATCCAAATATATTTTTTATTTTATAATTATATTGTAAGATTTTTATGTTTCAAAATTTCAATTAATTTTTTTCCCCACAAAACTCAACACGGAAAAAAAAAAAAAAAAAAAAAAAGCTTAAAATGCCCTAAAATATATTACCTAAATTTATTCATAATGATGTTAGTTATTAATTGAATTAAAAACTAATCACTTAAAATCATAACTCCTAACACATTATTAAACATAAATTTAATAATTATGTTTTAGAGATTCCTAAGTATTTCTCTAAACAAAGAAGCCCAAATTTTAAGTATTTTTGTGCCATTTAAGCATTTTTTTTGATAGAAGAGGCCCCTTCTATTTCTTCTCTTGTTTAGTTAGAAGTTTTTGCAACTATGCAATTTAATTTATCACTCGTTCCAATCTTACCCCTTCAAAAAAATCTTAATTACAAGATCGTGTTCTAAAATTTCAATGTTTCAAAATCATATTATATTAGTGTTCTAAGACTTCTATATTTCATAATTCATATCACACCATATAAACATAAATATACTAAAGAGGAGATTAAAAAAAATTGAAACAAACAATCTTTGCACAATTATCAAAACTCCGAACCCATACATTTAGGTGAACTAATCTAATTACATGGTTGGACAGAAATCAATCACAAAATCTAACACAAACATTCCATATAAAATTATAAAAAGTGAAATTCACATCATACGAGATTATTGAGTCCAATTTTGTACCCAATCTTCCCTAGCAATTCATTGATTCAAGTACACGACCACACAAAATGACAAACACTAGGGGGGAAAAAAACAAACAAACACATATCAAAGAAAAGTACATAACAAAATTACACAGTAATATCGAAACGGATATGTCGGAGGAGCACAGGAACAACAATGTCCGGCGAGCTCAACTGCGGCAAATGACCGTCAGTTGACATGACCTCAACGATTGACTTGCCGCCAAGGTTCTGATGGAGGTACTCGGAAACCACCACTGGCACGGCCAAGTCCTTCATGCTCTGTATTATGTGACATGGCACGGTCACGTTGCACAATAAATGCCTCAAATCGCTCTGAAATATAGTCTGCCCGACACACAACGCTATGTCTGGCCTCATGTTGAACAAAGTCCGGCTAAACTCTTGCACCGCCACTGAATCCATGTCGCCGCCCACTGCCAATGGTGCGAATCCAAAGCACCACGCCTTGTAATTTGATTGCATTGCTTCGAATAGCTGATCTAGATCTTCTTGTTCGAACCCTCCGTAGTAATCCACATCGTTCAAATACCTAAAACACAAAATCAAGGGTTGTCGTTTGAGCTACTTGATTTACAAGTTAATTTAGTCCATAATATATATATATATAAAAATAGATAAAAATTACCAAAAATAAAAATGATTGTATTTCCACTACTATTAGAAAGAAAGAAATTATATAGAGTTATGCTAGGGATCTTAAACAAATTACCAAATAAATTACTAAACCTCTCACATGGGTGTGGATCCATGTGAGAGGTTTCGTAATTTATTTGATAATTTGTTTGGGGTTTATAGCATTTTCCAATTATATATAACATTGAACTGAGTGAGATTTTTTTTTTAATGAACAATCTTAATATTATAAAAAAATTCTAAACAAGCCATATGTTATGTTTATCACAAAATCTCATCATTTGAGATAGGAATTAAACCTATAATACAAGAAAGCTCTTAAATTCCCACTTAACTTATAACCGAAATATCAAAAAAACATTTGTTTGATTTGAAATTTTCAAATACAGTTTGTTGAATTTTTAATTCATAATTTTTTTATTTTTAGTAATTTTTTTTTTTTTTGTAACATTTTAATCAGTTTTTTTAACCTTTCAAATTCTCTTTTAAAATTTTTAAACAATTTTATACTTTTTAATTCTAATTTGTATCCAGATTAAATTTAAAAATCATCATTATTTTTTATTTATTAAAATGTTAAAAAAAATTAAAAATTAAAAAATACGAATTAAAAATTATTTTTAAAAATTTCAAACCAAATAGAGTGGAGAAACCACTCAAATACAAACCGAGTATTAAAAAAATACACTATGAATCTCTAAACACATAATGTGTCATTATTAAAATTCATCTAAAAAAATATACATTATGTGATATACCAAATTGAATTTTTTAAAAAATATTTTTATATATTAGAGATCTGACGAAAATGGCACAAACAATAAATTTTGGGATTAAAAAATGTAAATAATCCCAAAATAAAATTATCGTAAATTGAGAGAGCTGAAATTATTACCTTGGAGAAGCAGAGATCATGATGATTTTGGCGAAAAGGTCAGGACGAGTAATAGAAGCAATAGCGCCAATAATGGCGGAGACAGAGTGGCCAACAAAAATGCAGGATTGGACTCGAAGCTCTTCCAAAATAGCGAGCACATCGTAGGCATAGCCTTCGAGAGTAGAGTAGCGATCGAAATCGAAGTATTCAGGGTTGGTTGTTCCAGCGCCCATATTATCGAAGAGGATGACTCGGTAATCGTCGACGAGATGAGGGACGAGGTGTTTCCAGACCGATTGATCGGTGCCGAAGCCATGAGCGAGGACGATTGTTTGATGATCGCTTGAGCCTAAGATCTTGATGTTGTGAGCTTCTTCAACTATTCCCATCTCGATCTTCTTTTTCTTCCTTGGTTTTTGTTGTGGTTTGATCTGCTGTTGGAGGAGGTTTGGGGGCTTGAAAGCGTGGAGTGAGGTTTTTTAGTTGGGAAGTGGAGACAGTGTGGACGCGGGACAATATGAACCACAAGTGGGTTTAATATTTATAATATTGATAAGATATTGGGGGGTGTTTGGGAAGTTTGGTTTTTCGATTTTTTTTTGTTTTTTTGTTTTTTTTTAACTAAAAAATAAATTGATTATGAAATTAAAAAAAATTAATTTAAATAAAATATTACATCAAACTCTATAATTATTTCACTTTTTATCTTATAAATATTACATCTAATCATAAAAAAACTTAACTATCTTTCCAAACATAAAAAAAAAATTCTCTAATAATATCCTACAACTAAAAATACTTAAAAAAAAAACTCACTTCCCAAACCACCCCATTGTTTGTTGGGTGGGGGATATTTGCTGATATTAGGAGGTCATTTGGACAACTTGCTAAAAAAAGTCAGTTTTGTGATTTTTTATTTTTTTTATAAAAAAAAAATTATAAAAAATCAGTTTTTTCAGTAAAAAAAAAATCACTAAAAATTAAAAAACAATCAAAAAATTAACTTTTTTATCAATTTTTCAAAACACCACTAGGCGGGGCATGCAAACATAAAAAAATAATGGGGAAATTACCAATTTTTATTTATTTATTTAGGATTTAGCGTGTTTTTCATTATAAACTCCAATATTTTAATTTCAGTCGTGATTTAGCGGGTTTTTTTGTTTTTGTTTTTGTTTTTTTTCTTTTCTTCTTCCTCGTTCGAACAGAACCAGAGGGGAGGGGATGGGAAGAGAAGAAGAGAGAGAGGGGGAGGGAAGGGGAAGTATTAAAAAAATACACTATGAATCTCTAAACAGTTTTTAAAAACATATACATTATGTGATATACCAAATTGAATTTTTAAAAACATATTTTTATGTATTAGAGATCTGAAGAAAATGACACAAACAATAAATTTTGGGATTAAAAATGTAAATAATCCCAAAATAAAATTATCGTAAATTGAGAGAGCTGAAATTATTACCTTGGAGAAGCAGAGATCATGATGATTTTGGCGAAAAGGTCAGGACGAGTAATAGAAGCAATAGCGCCAATAATGGCGGAGACAGAGTGGCCAACAAAAATGCAGGATTGGACTCGAAGCTCTTCCAAAATAGCGAGCACATCGTAGGCATAGCCTTCGAGAGTAGAGTAGCGATCGAAATCGAAGTATTCAGGGTTGGTTGTTCCAGCGCCCATATTATCGAAGAGGATGACTCGGTAATCGTCGACGAGATGAGGGACGAGGTGTTTCCAGACCGATTGATCGGTGCCGAAGCCATGAGCGAGGACGATTGTTTGATGATCGCTTGAGCCTAAGATCTTGATGTTGTGAGCTTCTTCAACTATTCCCATCTCGATCTTCTTTTTCTTCCTTGGTTTTTGTTGTGGTTTGATCTGCTGTTGGAGGAGGTTTGGGGGCTTGAAAGCGTGGAGTGAGGTTTTTTAGTTGGGAAGTGGAGACAGTGTGGACGCGGGACAATATGAACCACAAGTGGGTTTAATATTTATAATATTGATAAGATATTGGGGGGTGTTTGGGAAGTTTGGTTTTTCGATTTTTTTTTGTTTTTTTGTTTTTTTTTAACTAAAAAATAAATTGATTATGAAATTAAAAAAAAATAATTTAAATAAAATATTACATCAAACTCTATAATTATTTCACTTTTTATCTCATAAATATTACATCTAATCATAAAAAAACTTAACTATCTTTCCAAACATAAAAAAAAAAAATTTCTAATAATATCCTACAACTAAAAAAATTTACAAAAAAAACTTACTTCCCAAACCGCCACATTGTTTGTGGGGGGATATTTGCTGATATTAGGAGGTCATTTGGACAACTTGCTAAAAAAGTCAGTTTTGTGATTTTTTATTTTTTTTATAAAAAAAAAATCATAAAAAATCAGTTTTTCCAGTCAAAAAAATCACTAAAAATTAAAAAAAAATCAAAAAATTAACTTTTTTATTAACTTTTCAAAACCACTAGGCGGGGCATGCAAACATAAAAAAATAATGGAGAAATTACCAATTTTTATTTATTTATTTAGGATTTAGCGTATTTTTCATTTTAAACTCTAATATTTTAATTTTAATAATTTAAATTCTGAATTTTTAATTGTGTCCCAATGTTGACTCTCTGTCTGTTTCGTTTGTTTCTTTTGTTTCTGTTAATTTTTTACACTTATTTAATATACGTGTCATTTTTTGATTCGTTCATAATTATTGTAATTATTTTATTCCAAAATTACTTTTTTTTATTTTTTTTTATCACATCTCTATCTCTCTCTCTCCCAAGATGAACGATGGCCGACCTCCGGATGCCCCATCGCTGACCTGTAGATTCAATGGACAATCGGCGAAGAGATTCAATGGACGAGGTTCAGTGGATTCAATGGATCTATGAAAAATCTTCAACGGACAGAGATCTTCAACGGAGATTTGTAAGTAATTTTCAATAGAAGAAAAATGAAAGGTATAGTTATTCAAACACCTTCAACAATTTCAAGAGGAAACCTTCCATTATTAGCTTTGGTACCTTGTTGTGCCATAATTTCCAGGAGAGCCACCTCAACTTCCCCTTTATGTAAGTTTGCCAGAAGCTCAATTTTACACCACAATGAAAGAATGTACTGTAATGTGGTGTTTGTAAGTTGTATCACTTCTCACATATACAAGAAACCTGAAATCTATGTGGTTAACACAAGCTTTTGTGACAGATTCAATGGTGATCGAGATTCAACTGTAACATATCTCTCATCTCTTCTACGACGACACCTCCCTTACGTGACAGCGGCGACAAAGGGATTTGGTGTGGCTTCTCTCTCTCAGTATCACGGCACTATCTTCGCTCCAGATATGAATCTGAAGAATCTCATACTCACAAGAACCACCTTGAAACACCGGAACATTGCTACGGCCAAGAATGCTATAGCAGCGGATCCAGTGACAGCGACTTTGTTCAAAGCGGCGACACTAGTAGGAGTGGCCGATGGACTAAGATTGGAAGCGATCGACGACGGAGTCATAGTGGCGACGGTGGGAGTCATGGACGGAGTGATGGAAGATCCAATCACAGAGAGAGAGAGAGAGAGAGAGAGAGAAGAGTGAGAGATAGAGAGAATGATTTCTATAGAAATAGTTTCCAGAGTAAGAGATAGAGAAAATGGGACTGATCGACGACAGAGGGAAGAGAAGATAGGATGAGAAGAGAGAAGACGATGGGGAGAGAGAAAGTGTTGGAATAAAATAATTATAGTAATTATGAACGAATTAAAAAATGATATGTGTACGAAATAAGTGTAAAATGTTAACATAATAAAAAAGAAATAGGTGGAGGGTCAACATTGAAACACAATTAAAAATTCAAGATTTAAATTATTAAAATTAAAATGTTAAGGTTTAATGTAAAGGATACCTTAAATTTTGGAGTTTTTTTTTGTAATTTTCCCAAAAATAAAAATTGGGGGCTTCACAATTTTTTTATTTATTTTTTAAGGTCTAATTTATTTATTTTTTTTTGGTAAGAGAGAGCTTGACGGTTTTGATGATATGAATCATTTATTTTATTGAGTTTTATGTATAAATTATTTATGAAAAAATTTCAATGATTCATAGTTATATAATTTTGGATAAATTATAAATACACCTCTGAGATTTGCACATGAGATTTCATGTGATATTTAATAGATTTAATGATGTAATTATTAATTGGGTGGTTACATAAAGTTTAATGTGATATCTAGGGCATTTAATGTTGTAATTAATAAATTTTACTGCATATTATAGTTTACTAAGCTATTATATATTGAGATTTAGGTTTTTATTATAATATTATTAGATTATACTAGCTCTTAGGTTATTATATATATAATAACATAGAAGTATTCAAGTAGATTTAGGAGATTAAAAGGAAAAGAGGTTGACCAAGTTGTGAGAGAGAGAGAAAGAGAGAGATCAGAGAAGACAAAGAAAAGGGCGGCAGCAAGGAAAAAAGATGAGAGGGAAGAAAAGGAAAGATTAGGGTTTTGTTTTGGTGACTCTAGTAGTTTTCTAAATATTTTTTGATCTTCAATAAAGTATTGTGAATACAAATCTCACTTCTCTTTATTTATGTTTAATTCTTGTTTTTATCTATTTGTTTGATATTAGTTTGATTTTGTGTTTACATAAAGATGATAGATTAATTTTAATTATTTTGACTAGTGGTGTATGTAAAGTTTAGGGTTCTTAGATAATTAACTGATTTTAATTATTTTATTTAGTTGTGTATGTAAAGTTTATGATTTTTATTGATTGAATTTAATTATTTTCATTAGTTGGGTAGGTCAAATTTAGGATTTTTATATGGATTTATTTTATTATTGTAATCACATTCATAGTTATATGAAATTTAAAATTAATTAGGAACCCATAGATAAATTCCTTATAGTCCACCATGACGCCATGGATTGTTGTTTTATTTGAGTGATGGTGAGAAAGAATGTATAAAAAAAAGTGAGGATTATAAGATTTATTTAAATGCCTTAGGTTTGGCATTGTTATGTTGTTCTCATGAGTGAGATGCTTTGTATATAGATATTTGTCACGATATTGTTGCCTCGTTCTCATGAGTAGACGAGTGCTTTGATTTGCGCGCGTACGTATATGCTAACCATCCAGGGAGTGTGAGTCAAACTCAGAACGATATCCCCGTGCGAGTTTGGCTTTGGAGCGGTGTTAGGTATACGGAAGGCACATGAGATATATGTGTAGGCCAGAAGGGGAGAGCTGAAGTGGTGGAGTTAAGGAACAAAGAATTTAATTATGAATTTATTAGTATAGTGTGTATGGTACTGTTACGTACATGATAAAAAAAAATAGTAAACGATCTTGATAAATTATGAAATTTGAGGAGAGGCATGTATACGTGATTTTGGACAACTCTTGTGTTGTAGCTTTTTATTAAAAAGATCGATTAGAACTTATAATCGGATGACCTTGGTTATTGTCGGTTTGATTCATTTTGGTAATGCAGATTTTATAGGCTGTTTTAACCCACAAAATGAGCTCATTTTTATTGGTTTCGCGTAAACTGAAGTAAAACATTATTCTGCACACTTTTCGTGTTTTGAAATTTTTCGAAAAAAATCATCTTAGGGTATTTTTTTTTTGTTCGTTTTCAGCTTCAGATTTTTCGATTGAATTCTGTTTAGATTTTTATATCAAGTTTTTCTTTTAACCTGTTCTGTTTCTGTCAAATTCATTCAAGATTTCTTTTAGAAAATTTGATTCTGTACAACTTTCGTTCTTTGAGTTTTGATCAATTCGAATTATTTAAGTATGAAACGGTGTAATTTTGTATTGTTTTTTAATAAGTTACTTATGATTAAATTATACTAACTTTATTTATTTTGCAGAATGGTGGGTCTTACTAACTTTTTTATGCAGGGCTGACCTACCATATTTTTATTTCTATTTTTTCTATCTTATAATTTATATTTCGTTGTGTACGGACAAGAAACTAAATGCCACCATATCTCGAAAAACTACTCATTCGTCTCGGTGCGGTTAGAATTACTTGTCTTGTCCCGTGATAAGAATTAAATGTATTTTTGTCTGTGTCTGGTGGACACGTGGGTGTTAAATCTTGTACTCATACCAGTATACCTGTATACTGACCCGTTTTGTCTCTTGAGAACTCAGGTGCGTTCTGTTTGAGCGCAGCTGAGCTTACTTTGCAGGATTAGTTGGGGCTACGGTGGTGACGTGGATTTACGATAGTGTTGGACCTGTCGTTTGGACTTCTTTTGTTTTATTGAGCTTATGATTGATATTAGTCTATGTATTTATTATTCTCTTTATGACTTTAGTATTGAAATAATTTAGAATGATTTGTAACCGTACATTATTTAAGTTATTGTTACTTTAATGTTGAGGTATTGGTTAGTTATGAAATTATGGTGGATGTTTTGGTTGGCCTTTAGTTTTTGTTTCACCCCTAAGATTTGGATAATGGAATGTTATTGGGGTTTAGTCCTAATTTAATATTTAATTGTTCGAATTTTAGGGCGTGACAGTTTGGTATACCATTCACCCTGGTGGGACTAAGTTGTATCATGACCTGAAGATGACGTTTTGGTGGGAAGGTATGAAGAAAAACGTAGGAGAGTATGTTTCTCGATGTTATGTGTGCCAACAAGTTAAGGCAGAACACCAACGATCGTTTGGACTTTTGCAGCCTCTTGAGATTCCTACTTGAAAATGGGAGTACATTTCTATGGACTTCGTGGATAGATTGTCGCGGTCTAAGCGAGGCAATGAATCTATTTGGGTGATATTGGATCGACTCACCAAGTCTGCTCATTTTATTCCTATCAGTGTTCACCGAACTACGGATAAACTAACTAGGCTGTATATTCGAGAGGTGGTGCGACTTCATGGCGCACCAGTTTCTATAGTTTCGGATCATGATCCGTTGTTTGTGGCTGAGTTTTGGAAGAGTT